TCATCGAAAGGTCAGTGGGTTGTTTAGTGGTCCGGCTACGAGAGTCTATGAGCACAACGTGCACGAAGGGGAAGCCACAGGCACGATACATCAGTGCCTGGCCCAACGCCTTTGAAATAGATCCAGTGGCATCTGCAGCCCGGATAAACTTGACCTCGACCGCGAGAGAGCGACTGTCAAAGTACGCAAGTTCCAAATCGGGATAGAACTCCACGCCGAAGAGGGATACGGACCTGGGTGGCGCACCACCATCCGCGCGAACTACCAGACCGGGCGTACTAAGTTCCTCGACCATGTGCATAACCGCGGGCAATAAGACGGAACCCGTGTAGCGCGGCTCCGACTCACCTATTTCAGGCACGCGCCATTCCGAAGTCTCTATGAGCTCAGAGAAATACTCCGACAGCCGACCGAGCTGTTTGAGGGTGAGGGTCCTAGCTTTCGTCATCGAGCGCAGAGGCGGTCAATCCAAGGCCGACCTTTGCCTTCATCTCTTCAAAAGCAGCCTTATCACTGTCCTTCGCGCTCACGAGCCGTTGGAAAACGACCTTTGCGCCAGAGAGACCTGCAAGTCCTTCGTACTGCCCCTTTTCGAGGCTGACGGACTGTGCCACTTGCTTCATCGCGAGCTGGAAGTCGGCGGCGTCGACCGCCTTGAGTTCCATCTGCTCTTCGATGACACGGGCGCCAAATTGGCTAAAGGAGGCCAAACCGATCGCCTGAAGGAGGATGTATTTGTTGCGGTCCTGCCATGCCTCCGGGAAGGCATCCCGAACTCCAGCCCAGTAGTTCGAAAGCAAGAGCTTAGCGAGCTGGGCATTCTCCTCTAGCTTCTTGTATTCCTGCGACGTCGGGTCGTTGGCGAGCGCGGCGCTGTTAACAACCTCGGGAGGAAATGCGAGCGCCTCGAGCTTTGAGGCCTCTTTCATGGTTGTCAGAAGGGCGCCCGATAGCGTGCTGATCTTGAGGGGCGGAACATAACCCTGATCCTTCTTGATTCCAGTCTTGCTGCCTCCCGCGAAGACCTTGCCTGCAAACACCTCGCCGGGCTGGCTCAGTTCGTTGGCAAGCCAGAGCGCACGTCCACGAGGAGTGAACAGGAGCTCGTCGCGATTCAAACGCACCTTGATGCTGTCAAGATGTGCAGTTTCCATCTTGCGCTGGTTCGCATTGATGTCTCGGAACAAAGCGCGTTCCTGGTCCGCCGTGAGTCCGATGAAGAGGGCGAACGGCACGAGCGGAAACTCCACTCCCGACTCACGTTCGTCGAGGTCGGGAATCTGGCTCAAGCGGTGGTTTCCGTCGAGCCGGCTGATCTGCGGATTGCTCGCAGGCTTCGGCCAGTCAAGGCTGCGCGAACTCACCTCGACTCGAACGATCTGCGTCGCGTCGGGCGGGCCATCCACTGAGTCGATCGGAACCTCTGAGTCGTCCAGCCCGAAGATCGACACCACGTTACGGTCTCGAGCATTGAGGATGATCTCAGTGAAAGACCGAGGATCAGAAGAAGGCTCCAAGTCAGCCGCTTCGAGCGCGTAGGCGGTTGCTTCCTTGGCGTGAATGTTCTGAAGGTCCCGTTGGGTTCCAAGCGGGTTCGTAACCTGGTCGTACACGTCAGCACCGCTGATGTCGGCCAGCTAGTCAAGGCGCGCGAATCCGCGGATCACTCCAAGGTTGAGGTTGCCACCGTAAAGGCAATGATCCATGACCAGAGTGCTGCCGTACATTTCAATAAAGTTGACCACTAGAGCTCCATCTACTAAATGTCTTTCATCATCAGACGCAAACGCGCCTTGATGAGCTGCGGGCTGTCCGACTGCGTTCCGGGGGTCACTACGAGCTCGCCTTCACGCCCACGACCCTGGGTTTTTGAGCTAATACTGCGATGGACTTCGATTTCTTCGACGCGCAAGCCGCGGTCACGGTAAAGCTGAATCATCTGTGGCCGTGCAGAATTTGTGAGCAGAAAGTCGACCCCACGCTGTTTGAGATCCACGAGAGCGTCTGCGAGGCGGATTTGGTCAGAGAAAGTGAAAACCCGATTCCGCTCGTAAAGATCGCGACGATTATCGTCATGGAAGTAGGGCGGATCAAAAAAGGCGAAGTCGCCAGGCTGCATATCGTTGAGGCCTGTCTCCCATGACTGCGCGCGAAGCCGCGATTGCGAGAGCGCGACGCTCACGCCGGTGACTTCCTCGAGCGACGGGAGGCGCAGTGCAGCCTTCAGATTTCCGTGCGGTACGTTGAACGATCCGGCCTGATTGATGCGGAAGACCCCGTTCCACGCAACTTTCATCAGGAAGATGAATCGAGCGGCGTCGGGTCGAGGATACGTTCGGTTGTGCTGTGCGCGGACATCGAGATAGAAAGCGACTTTGTCGGTCGCAACGTTATAGCCGGCCTCGAGTTGTCTTAGGCGGTCCGAAACGACATCCGGCTCCCATTTGACCTCTTCATAAGTGCGGATGACCCTTAGGTTCACATCGGCTAGAACAGCTTTAACAGGGCTAGAACTGCGAGCAGCAACGTGGAAGAAGACGGACAGACCACCTCCAAACGGCTCGTGGTACGTGTTGAAGCCTTCCGGGATTCGCTCCCGATGCTCCCAGAGGAAACGTTGTTTTCCACCAGCCCACTTGAACAACGGTCGCGCGAGCGTCGCCCAGCAAGCCCAGCCGTCGTCGGCGGGGTTCTGGTCGGTCTCGAGGTTCGTCATCAGTTCAGCCTATCGGGGTGATTCGGTGAACGACGAGTCCACGCCGTGTTATACGCAGAGACACGCCGTGGTGCCAATTGTGCAGGAAGAGTCAGTCGTGCGGGACCGCTTCGAGGAGCGCCCGGACCGCAGCGGAGCGAGGACCGGATGCACCGCAGAGCGGTCCCGCACGAGCCGGCGAGTCGGCCTTGAACGAGTAAAGAAAGTTCTCACAGCTCGTCGGTCTCGCGAAGGATCGCTCGGCTCGTTGCGCGAGTTTCCCTCCCTAAGCTACGTCGATGGCGTCAGCCGCACGCACGCAGCCGAGGGCATGCGCGAGTTCCTCCGTGACATCCTCGCAGACATGTACAGCAACGGCGAAGAACCGCCCGCACCCGCAGGTTACCTCCGAAAACTCGCCTCCGCGTAATCGAACTCTGACACGATGGGTGCGCCATTGCCATCATCCTTCCTTCAGGGTATGAAAAAGCCCCACCAGGCCCGGAGGACGGCGGGGAAACTATATCTCATATCTACCAGACGACCCCGGGGTCGTGTCAAGTTGGCAGCCCGCGCCTGAACACCGGGATCACGTTGCGAACGCGACCTCGCGGGCGTTCTGCACCGCGGAGACGGGGACATGCAGGATGACAGCGGGGATGATGACGCCGTGTTTCTGGGTTGCAACGTAGTCAAGGTACGCGCCGACAGTGACCGCTCCTGATGGTGGGGTGCCGGTCATGTCGTCAGCGTCACCCGAGTACAGGGCACTCTCGGCAGGGATCACGTTCACCTGACGAACGATCCCCTCCCCTTGCGAGAACACGTTCGCGAACCCACCGATCATCGCGATGCGATGCATCAGAGTAGACAGGTGCTCGCTGTCCAAGGCAACCACGACCGGGTGCTCCCCGTTGACGTCAACCACGTCCAAGAGAACTGCCCCAGTGCTGATGTTCACCATCACCTCGACATCGAATGCGTCTAGCGGGGATAGCTGGT